TCGGGAGAATGAAATTGCCCAAGTTTAGACCATATGAATCATCCTGTCACACCTGAGGGGTGGGAACTTGGGGGGTGCTGAGAAACACTGTCAAAATTCATGGTTCAAAGACAAATGCTAAGTAAAAGACTGAGGGTTAAGACTTGTTCTATAGAACCTATAAATCCTATACTTATGGATAAGAAGTAAATATTGTGAAGGCATCAGTTCTTCCCAAAATGGTGTATAAATGTAATGGGATCCCAACACAAATTCTACTGCAAACTATAGGATTTAATTATTGGAATAGTGATTCTAAATTTTATATGGAGAGGCAAATAATCCCAAAATACAAGTAATTAAAGGAGAAGAATGAAGGCACAGGACTGACATTACCAGATTTTAAGGGTTATAAAGTGGAAGTAATATAGTTTAACATAGAAAAAAGAATAAGTAAACAGATCAATGCAACATAGTAGAATACAGAAGTAGGTCAACTAATTCTTCATAAGAAGAAGAAGAAGGTGATGCAATTGAGAAAGAAATGATTTTCTTAATAAATAGTGCTGAATATCTAAGCGTTCACGTAAAATACAGCTCGAGGCTTAGAATATACTACTTTTTCGAAAAATAAATTCACAATACATAATAAACGTGAATGTGAAATACAATAAAACATCTAATAGATTACATAGGGAAAAAGTCTAGTTTTCCTTGGATTTGACAATACCTTTCTTAATAAAACACTAAGGCATGATCTGTTAAAAAATTGAAAATCTGCAGTTAAATAAAATTATGTTTATTTTCTGTAGAAGATACTGTGAAAAGAATTGGAAGACAAGCCACAGTTTGAAAGAATATGTTCTATTTCTAAAAAAAAATTCTGATGAACATCAGTAATCAAAATATTCAATGAATTCTTAGAACTCCACATTAAGAAAGATACAATTCCATATAAAATATGAACATAAGTCTTGAATGGCCACCTCATCAAAGAAGGTATAACCATGGTACATAAATGTATGAAAAGATACTTATATTACATCAGGATAATGCAAATTAAAATAAAATTTGCTACTTCTATTTAATGCTGATGGGACTGTGGAGCAATGGGACTCACTTATTGTTGGTGGGATAAAATGATGATACAGTATCTTTGGAGAACATTTCGGAGAGTCATACAAAACCACACATAGTCTTCCTAGGAAATCCAGGAATATACTCCTTGGTATTTACCCAAGGGAAGTAAAAATTCATGTCCCCAGAGAAACATGAAATTGGTGCTCAGAGCAGATTAATTTATGATTTCCAAAACTTACAAGCTACCAAGACATGGTTTGTAGATGAGTAAAAACATTCAGCATACCCGGAAAATCATATATCATTTTGTTCTGAGAAGAAATGTTACTAAGTTATATAAATATATTGAGGAAATATAATGTACATTCATAAGAGAAAGAACTTAATCCTAAAAGATACATATTAAATGACATGACATTTTAGAAGAGTCAAATCTATGAAGACATTAGAAAGACCAGTGGTTACCAAGGGTTAGGGAAGAGGGAGGAATAAACTGATATAAGGCCGGATAAGAATGCACCCTTTGGGGCTGGGGATTTAGCTCAGCAGCAAAAAGCGCCTGCCTGGCAAGCACAAGGTCGTGAGTTCGGTTCCCGGTACCGGAGAAAAACCAAAAAAAAAAAAAAAAAAAAAGAATGCACCCTTTAAGACATAACAATAGTAGAAATGATTTTTTTGTTTTTTGTACTGGGAATCAAACTCAGGATCCTGCGCTTGCCAGGCAGGTGCTGTGACACTGATCTATATATCCTTGACCCTTTTCAATAGTAGTTACATGTTATTATACCTTTGTTTGCACTAATAGAACTTAGTACACAAAAATGAACCTTACTGTAAACTGTAGAATTTAGTTGATAGTGATATATCAATACCAGTTCATTAATTTTAACAAATCTACTGCTCTAATGAGGAATGGTGATTGTGAGTGAGGCTGAATATATTTTGGGTAGGGGTTATACAAGAACGGTTTCTAATCTCTTGTAAATTTTGTTGCAAACTTAAAACAGGTCTGAACAATTAAAATTTTTAAAACATGCATGTGTGTATTTGCACACATCACATTGTGTGTATGCTATATGTAGAGAGAACCATGGAGAGATATATCAAGACCAAGAGGAAGAGAGACTCAAGCATCTGAGAATGTCATACTTGGTTAATGAAGATCATTGAAAATGCTTTGTAGTTGATCGTTTACAATAGCGTAAAAATGTGCTGACAGAACATAGGAAGCAATCATGTACCAACTTACTCCTCCTGAAGTCATGTGATCTTTCCCAAAAATGTATTTTTCTGAAAACAATCAATTTTTTTTTTGTTTTGTTTTTGTTTTTTTCTCCGGTACCAGGAACTGAACTCACGACCTTGCGCTTGCCAGGCAGGCGCTTTGCCGCTGAGCTAAATCCCCAGCCCCTTGAAAACAATCAAATTTCAATATGCCATTTAATGTTAGGTTCAGATGCCAACTCTAAAACATATTCTTGGTTTCGTCTTTGGTAATAGGTTTTTCTTGCTCTGGTCTTGCTCTAATTATACTAGTCCTGTTCCAAAGAAGTTTAGTGAAAATCAAAATGAACTGCAGTTTTGGCAGTTTTATATGCTGTTCATATATATTTTATATATGATTATATGGCTATGTTATATATAATGTTTACATAATTTATTTCTCTATTGTAATAAATATTCTACTGTGCTAGAATTGATGTTGCTTCTATATTTGTCTTTCTCACTAGACTTGTAAGGCTTTATGGGATAATAGTCATTTTTTCTTCTTCCAGTTGCATTTAAGGAGAGCACAATATCATAAAATATGATTGTATTTGATGAACTATAATAGTTTACAAACAGCTTACATGTACATTAGGTGTTTGTCATTCTCCACTTGATATTACACTCAGTGGAATATGTGCCATTATTTTAATAGTATTGATAGCTTTCCTGTGGTCATAGCAACCTTTTATAAATCTAATGGAAGGGCTATGATTCAATCTCATATTGCCAGAGCCCAAGTTCAGTGTATGTTTGCTTATGCCATGCGTATTTCAATGTTTGCTTTCTGAGTAAATCCACATTATATATATAACATATATATATAACATATATATATATATATATAATGTATAATTAAATGTAAGTATTGGAAATTTGAAAGAATATGTACAGCAATTTTCTAAGAAAAATAGATAACTCGAACATTTTTGGAACAGGGACCATGCTTTTAGACATAAATGTATTATATTAATAGACACTGGTGGGATTGTGGAATGGTCCTAGCTTCTGTAATGTTCACTTTTCTTGGGTTTAATTATACATGGAAAATGCAAATCACATCTTTCTGAATGTACACAGATTCCACAAGAAAACACAAGTGCATTTTCAAGAGCGATTTTAATTTTCCTTCTTTTCATCCTAATTGACAACATTCATAGAAGGAGCACAGTTTGAGCAGGAAAAAAAATGCAGAAAAATTAAACAAAAAGACATTCTGAACTGTATGATGCATCTCTTCTTTCATTAAGAGACTGAAATATTGTCAGTGCCCTTTATGGTCTTAATTAAGTATGTCAGTATAATACTTAATTGAGAGCAATATGTAAATGATTGTTTCTTCGGAAGGCCAAAGCTAAGTAAACACAGCATTCTGCAAGTAAACATGTGATTAAATATCTATGCCAAAGTCTTGTGCAGATTAAGGGAGAAGGTGCTTTTTATCAAAATCTGCTCCCACCATTTTCATGGTTAAGAATCTGTATGAAAAAATGCTAGGAAGTCATCACTTTTTATTTAATATCAACACACAATGCTTTTTCTTGAAGCAAATTAATGTGACTGATCCCAGTGGCCAGCTTATTCCACATCTGTTGTTTGTTGTAGGAGGGAATGCATCATATTTCTAGACACTCAGAACAAGTCAACATAGAAGTTAATAAAAGATTGAGAGGATGGGCGATATCCTCATTAACTATCTACTGCATTTCTCTGATTTTATCCTATGGATATAATAATCTTTTACTGACATACCTTTTCCCTTTTGTTATAGTTTGGCTGTATCGTGTGCCCCGAAGTTTCATGGTTAAAATCTTGGCAACTAGCTATGGCACAGTTAAGAGGTAGAAGAAACATTAACAGGAGGTGGAGCCTAGAGAGAAGTTTTAAGTCATTCGGAGCATGACTTTGAAGGGGATTGTGGGAACACAGCCTCTTTATTTTTCCCTCTGTCATACAAAGTCATGAGGACAGCAGCTTTGATTTAGCAGTCACTCATTTCCTGCCATGACGTGGTGCCTTCTCAGATAGGCCCAACAGCAACAAGGTCAACTAACCACGGCCTAAACCTTCCCAAGCTGTGAGCCAAAATAAATCTTTCCTTTTTATGAATTATTTATCTCAGAAATTTGGTATAGTAACAGAAAAGCTGACTACCAGACCCAATCTGATCCTTTAAATTTCATTCATTTTCTGCCTCTGTGATGGTTTATGATGATTTCTTAGATCTGCCAGAGATAAATTCTCACTCTCTATAACTTATTTTAGTCTAGTTAATGTAATACAGTGTCATTAATTTGCTCTATAGTATGATCTTCAACTTCTCTGTGTTCATTCATAAACTTGTGATTTAGCATGGTGAATCCACTGTTATTCATACTTTATGGCCTGTTCTCCCAGTCCCTTTGAATCTCAGTAAGTATGTGATGGATGCCACCAATAAAATTTCTTTTGCATGATACATTTATTGCTAAGTTTATGAGATATATTGTTCATAAGGTTCATATTACATGTTGTTTTCAGAAGATATTCACATATTCATTACACAATATCTTTAACAAGAATGAAGAGGTTTTCTAATTATGCAGGGATAGACAGATATGCTTTTGACCTTATATATCTTAAATAGTTGATGACAATTTGTACATAACATTTCTAACTTTTCATATGATACTTACCCAATCTTTTCTTCATCAGTAAAGATAATTCTGAAATGATCATCCCCTTGTGAACTTGATGAGGGTCAGTTGAAAAAGAAATAGTAATTACTTCCCCTGTAATTATAAAATGATATGCTCCTTTATAACTTCACATAAAGATGAACTTGTATGTTAATATTAAATGTTAATTATTATTTGCAGATTTTTATGAATTTCAGATTCTCTTTAACAGGCATAGTTACTTCATTATTTTCAGCCTGGTAGAAAAATACTAATTTCTACAATAGCTCCAGGTTCTTTAATCTGACTGGGGGATTCTTTCACCTGTAAGCCTTAGTGGACAAACTTTCTTAATCTTTGTTACTCTTTCCATCATTCTTTACCCTTATCACACAATTTCTATTGAAGCACCATAAGTAGCACATTTCTTTTAACAACAGTCTTCTCTTACAGTCCCAAACATTAAGGTAAATAGCCTTCATTTACACTCTAACAATACATTATTTAGTCTTTATTATCATTCATTAACTCTTTCACGCAACAAATGCTTATTGAACACTTCCTTTACTTTTGAAACTAAGGATCTATGTTACTCATTTTTCTGTCACTTTAGAGAAATACTTGAGATAATCAACTAATAAAGAGTAAATGCTCATTTGAATTCAAAGTTTTGGAGGTTCCAGTCCTTGACTGATTATCCCCATAGTTTTGGGCCTGTGGCAGGTCAGCGCATCATGATGGGAGGATGTGGAGTGCAATGCTGCTTATCTTGCAACCAATAAGCAAAAGAGCAGAAGGGAGCATCTAAGATCCAGATCTCTTTGGCAGCAACCCCCACGACCTCTTCCTAGGCTCCACCTCTGAAAGGCTCCACCAACTTTCAATAGCTCCTCTCAGAAGATCAAGTCTTTAACTTTGGATTTTAGGGTTTATTCAAGACCCAAAATGTACCAGGTTACTATGGCATGCAATTGTGTGCATGTGTATTTCCTCCAGGGTTGAGTTCAATATAGGAATTCTTTCTCGACCCACTTCAAACAAAGTAATGCAGATGCATTTCCCTCCTTATACTCTGAACAGACTTCAGAGACAATGGCTATATTTTTATTATACTCTGAGTACCTAGAGCTGGGGAAAAGAGATACTGAATAAATTTTTGACTTAGTGGATATCAAAATAAATACAGAATTTTAGTTTCAGAATCTAGCAACTAGAAAATATTTTGTAGACTTCTCAATTACCAGACTTCATTGAGTTGGAAATAAATATTACATCTTATTGTGATGCAATGTTCTGCATAAAGTTAGAGTTCTCTAAATGCCCTTGATTTGGGGGCTGGGGATTTAGCTCAGCGGCACAGCACCTGCCTGGCAAGCACAAGTTCAATTCCCGGTACCAGAAAAAAAAAAATAAAAACAAAAATAAAATGTCCTTGATTAAATGAAGGCCATTATGAATTTGTCTGTATTCAACCAGGTACAGGAATGAGTGTCACACCGGTAAAATTGTTATGTATCACTAATTCTCTGTTCTGGGTACGTCCTGCTTTGCATTTACACATAGCTTAACCACCATGTTGTCAGCTCCGTGACAGTAACACCCTCCTCAGTTCCATGTCAAGGATGAACATTCGTGTGAATAATACAGTCCTGCAAGCACCATATACAAAGTTCCCAAATTCTTGTTTAATTTTTTAACATGTTTCCCTGTCATTACATTCTTATCCCAATAATTAATAATATCAAAAGCCAATCATCCAATATCTGGAGGATATTAAAGATGTCTCTTAAGAGCCCAAAATTGAAAAGATTGAAATTATTCTCTCTTTGAAAGCCAGGAGCATGTCTTTTGTACCAGTTACAATAAGAGCCCAGGGAGCAAGCATTTGGGCTGGTAATGGAACATAGCACAAAAGTTTGTAGGAGGTTAGCAATGCCCATGGCTCAGTGTTCCATATACTGCCAAGTGGGTACCAAGATGCTTTACGCTAGAGAAGAGTGGCATGCAGAGAAATTGGAAAGAGATCTAAGACAATTTTGATTGGATTTAAAACCTAGTGAAACTGTAAGTAGATTTATTTTATTTTATTGAACATTTAAAGAATTACAATCCTCTCCAAGTTATAACATGTATGATATTAGAATAATATCTTAGAATATTTTAATTTATTATTATTGATGTTATTATTATTATTTGCTTTATGATTACTTTTACAGGTTTATGTTTCCCTACTGTCCTAAAAGTAATTTTTATATAACCTAAAACACATAAAAAGATACGTTTCTCTATAATTTTACATATGAAGAAAGCTAACATTCAATGGGTGAAATATAGCATGTAATATACTATGGCAGTAATATTGTCTAGAAGATCTAACTCTCATTTTCCAACACTCTTTTTTTTTTTTTTTTTGTCATTTTGAGACATGGTCTCACTATGCAGTTCTGGCTGGCCTTGAGCTCACTTTGTAGCCCAGGCTAGTCTCGAACTCACAATGGTCCTCCTGTCTCAGCCTCCTCATTGCTGGGATTACAAGCATGTGCCACCACACCTGGCTTCTCCAACTGTCTTATCTTGTGTCTACTTCTGCTTAAGAGACTGAAGAACTTCCAAGTCCACAACTTCATCCTCTCTGCAGCCAGATATATTGGTTACATAGTTCTCTACCACTGTAGTCGCCAGTGTGGATTCTAGAGAAATGTCCTTGAGCTTCAATTCTATCTTTTCCATTGAGTAGTAATATAATTTTAGATTCCAAATGATTTCATTGTATTTCAGTTTCTTCTTCTGTTGAATCAACATGGTCCACCTTTCTAACATATGATTACAGAGAGATTCTAAATTTTTTTATGTGTAAATTCCCTGCATATAGTAAGGACCCATTAGTATGGCATTATTTTTTACTTTTCCTTCTGATGTTATTCTGGTATGCAGAATGGAATTGAAAGCCTTGACATTAAGATAGCATTTACTTTCCTAATGAAAAGAAAATTTGTGGTAGGTTCTAGCTGACCTTTATCACAGCTACCATGAAATTTGAAATGTTGCTACAGATGGAACGCAAAATATGAACAGCCTATGAAATTGTAAGCATTGGGGGAAAGTTCAATTGAACTGGAGAAAAGTAGAATTTGATATCAAATTACTGCTGGGTTGAAATCAATAATCATCTGTTTCCTGCTATGTACTGAAGTGACTGGTAACTACTTTTATATTCACTAAAACCTAAATTATTCCTTATGCCCATCTTCGCAGAATTGCCCTGACAACTAATTGTTACTACTAGAATTATATAATATGTTCTCCACATATCAAATTGATCTAGAGACAGATCACATATAATGGAAAATTTCAAACATGGCTTCTAGAAAATGTAGGGTTTTGGGTCAAAGGACTTTATTCCACAGTTAACATTTTGTAAGATCACAGACTTGTCTATGGCATTAAATTAATTGCTCAAATGGTATTTGCTGAGGCAACTTTATTTCTAATCACTGATTATCTTGGCACTTTTAGAAATAAACTTGTTTGCTTAAAGACAATTTCACAATATTAACATATTTGTGGTGGTGTAGATTTGGTACTTGTAGTCAGTTTCCAAGATGATTATCTTCCTCCCATTGTTCCTAGGTTTATTTAGGTCCCTTCTGCACTGGAGAGTTGATGGACTCCATGATATATGGGATACAGCAAAAACCGACAGCTTGACAGTTCTGAGATTAGCCTGTAAATGTCTAGTTTCTCTCTTGTTTTCACCGCTCTTGTCTCTCAGATCACTTACTCTGGGTGAGGCCAATTGCCATGTTGTTAGGACACTGAGGCTACCTATGGAGAAGCTCTCATGGCAAAGAAGAGAGGTCAACAGCCAAAAGTCAGTGCCAAACTGAAATTTTGCCCGCTACCACTTGAACAAAGTTGGCGATCAATTCTCCAGCTCAAATTGAACACTGAGAGGACTGTAGCTCCAAGAAGCATCTGAGTCATGACCTGTTGGAAACATACTAAAACAAAACTACTTAAATGAGCCATTCTCAGATTCTGAGGTAGATACTGATTATTTTAGACTACTAAGACACTTTAATCACTTATTTAGCCATATGTGCAAGTAAAAATGTCTAAAGACTAACATGACAAATGTAAAGTACCGAGGGTATTAATGGGCATATGTTCAACACTTACGTGTCTTTCTTTTACAAAAAGATCAAAAGCAAAAATCATTCTGAAAATAATTGAATAAAGATACAAAAATACTTCATTTCTATTTTAAATTCTTGCATTCCTTTATATTCTATTTTAAAAATCATTTATTCTATTAAAGATATCTTAACAATCATATATTATATATAATATATAGCTACACTCTAGGGGCAATTTATTTTCATTCATATATATTGAATATTAGGAGCCCACTCAAGTAAAACATAGTTGTAGTTTAATCTAACAGTGATGAATTACTGGAGTGAATTCATGCAAACAGGGAAATTGAAATTAAATTCATCACACCAAGGAAAACACTTCCTACCCATGTAAATTAGCAGCTTTTCCGCTGAAATCAATTTGTTTTGGTAAATTATGCAAAAATCCTCAAAGGGCTTAGGTAAGTAATTTATTATACTCTTGGCTGTTTCATAATGTTAGAAAATAAAATGTATTTGCACAATATTAGAGGCATAAGCTGAGAACTTTAGTGATAATTTTTGTGTATTACAATTAATCTAACTTGAATGCCCTATCAGAACACACACACTGTGCCGGACGTACATTTTTTGTGAAATGGCTTAGATGATGTTACATTCAAAAGAGAACAAAAATGCTCTCTCTGTTTTGAGTGCTGATTTGATTCCTGAAATATTTTGGGGCAGCCATCAATAACTTCGATTAAGAGGGCAACGAACTTTGTAGATCTAAGACAGGAAATCACCTCGTTGGGAGCCTGCATGAATAAAGTTTTACACAAAGCTTTTGTAGTTTTTGTGGTATAAATCAAAGAGTGTGTGTTAACAGGAATTTCTTGGTTTGGGTGTCACTAAATCTAATGTGTACCTCAAATCATGGTGAATTTCAATTAATTTCTTTTAAGGAGTGGGGTAGAAGTTGT